TTTCAACTTTAAATATTTGTTTCTTAGCATCTATTTACCATCTATGTTTTTTTTGTAACTAATCATAAAAGATATTGTCGTTCTGTTTATTCTTTATATTTTATATACTTAATGTATGTCATATGTTAATACAGCTATATAGTTAGTATCATAAACATACTATAACATTAGAATAATAGTGAAATAATATTTATAATCTATACATTGTTAGGGGCACATTATGGCAGACTCAAGAAATAGAACATTACAAGTAGTTCATAATTTAACGAATATTCTAATATCAAACAATTGTATGTATTAAACCCAAAAAAGCAATAATAGTGAAATGTTGGTTAAAATAAAAAGTTCTTTTATTATCAACTGAAATCTAAAGGTAATTTCTTTTAAACTTTTCATATATCAGAATGTGTAAATCCCTCCAGTGTGCACTACAAATTTTGAAAGACAATAAACCTTCTATGGATGCATCTGAGAAAAGCAGAAGGTTAATTTTTAGTCTAAACAAACTATGTCAATTAGGGACAATAAATTTTCCAATGTTTCATCATGCCAGCAGTATTATTGAATATGTTATCAAACAGTGTATATAGTCTTTTCTACAGGTGGACACCATACATTTGCCTAAAACTGGCTGTTACAGAGCCATCAAGTCTTTCAGTAGAAGGTCTATTTTGTGTGGATATTTGGCACAAATGTGTGACCTTGCAAACGAAACAGGAAATGGTAAGGCTGTATTAAAGAAAACTGTACAGGTTCTTCTAACCTGTTAGCTAGCATATGGAGTTGATTAAAGGATGGTCTTTAAGAATATTATATTGCCACCTGTTAACAATGGTGATATTCATTACTTTGTACACTGAGCTGACCTAAATGATGAAATAAAGTACATAATGATGGATCTTTCTAGCAAGTCAAAGCTACAAGAGGTACTTACCAATAAGTGTTTTGATGCTAGTATCTCTTGTACTGATTGTCTAAAACCCATTATGAAGTGCAGTTAATTTGAAATCTGATTCTCTTTCTGCTGATGGTGAAGATGGTAAGCTTCACTATGCATATGTTACTGATGTATATAGCACAACACTGCAGAATGACTTTGGTTGACAAAAATTAAAATAGCAGCAAAAAGTGTCCCCTTGCCATTTAATTACACAGTCCAACATGCCAAAATTTTATCATACACAATAACCTGATTTGAATGCGACAAGCATACAAGGTTATACTTAATTCCACAGTCCAACATGCTAAAATTTTTATCATACACAATAACCTGATTTGAAATGTGACAAGCCTCTAAGGTTATATTTTCACAGCATAAACTATCGAATCTTGAAAGAAGTTTGTTTATTTCGATTTCTGACACGCTTTATGTCTTTGTGGTCTCCAGAGTTGAGTTCAAAGACCGTGGAGTGAGTGTAAACAGTTCCCAGCAATAGCTGCTGGACAGAATTTATGCAAAAACCAACATAAATTGTAATTTACCTGTAGAAATACTGTACTATATATGTACAGCAGGCCTTGACAAATGTTTTCAGATCTAGGAGCCAGCCCAAAAATTCAGAAGCCAGGCATGCCTAACTTCACTACTGTTTGTACCGGGAAATAGGGGCTTCACTACTGCCTCGATTATCTGTACCTCTATCATCCTTGTTTTTTCTTTTCCCCACATTTTCTCAAAATAATTGTGCCATTACAATAATTTAGATTTTTTGGAGAAATTGTTCCTTAGAAATTAATTTTGGTTGTAAAAGTTCAGGTGTTGAATGATATCTGGGGTTTTCAGGTGCAGGATCTGGAGTACATTCAGATCGTATGTTGGCCAGTTCAAGTCTAGCCTTGCCTCTTATTTTAAGCTTGTATATTTGTAGCTTGGTTAACTTTATTTGATTAATGATTAAAAATGTAGACAAAAACACACAAAATATACATTACGATTTCTTAAAGATTTCACTCGACTTCAGTTATTTTCCACTGTCGTATGCTTCATGGTGGCCATCTTTTAACTACAGATCCATGTTTCAAGTCGTGTTGGGGTATCGCCCAGTTACACATTGTCCTCTTCCCTATAGATAATTGGTATCTTCAGTCTGTCTTAACAAAGGTTTTTTCATAATAATTCCCAAGCATAGATTTGGGCTAATTTTGACTTATTTATCACAGCCGTTGATAGGGTGCAAATGCACTTCTGTGTCTATAGCAGAAAAAGTGCTGAAACTTAGGAGCTATTTACACTTATGTTAGCAATTAAATTCAACTGAAACACGAACGGGCAGTCAAAAGGAGAAGTAGTATTGGAAATAGGTGGAATTATACTCATGCAACTCACAAAATTCACTTGGCTTTTATGATTATGACGATTTATAATTTTTCATGATTAAATGACAGTTAAAAAAATAATAATTTAAAACAAGGAACTTAAATTTACTGAAAAATGTTATTTAGATTAAACAATAGGCTAACTAGTGAGATACAATAGTGCATCAATTATTCGCCGTTTCTGTTATCTGCGATTTGCTTTTCCGGATCAGTGTGGATAATCAAGGCACCAATGTATATTTTTTTTTACTTTCATAGCAACAAGTACATGCTAACAATCACATGATATCAACAACACTTGATAATATTGCCTGAACTAACTGCCTTTGGTCCCATCTGATTTTAAACACTCACAACGTTTTGTTGAATTGAGAGAAAGAAGATAAACAAAATGGTGCAAAATTAGTAACATATTGTGCAACTGCAAAGCCTCATTCCAGAAAAAACATGAGTTACTGAATTTACCAATAAAATCCTAGAAACAAAGTTCAATTTAATACTCAAAGAATGTGAAAATAGTTCCTGACTTCCAAGAGTCCAGAATTGTTCTAGATTCAAGTTCTATTTAGCACAGCCCTATGCACGAGTAAAATGGCAGTAAATAGTAGGTGACATGACAGTATGGTTCCCAGGATTTGTCGAGGCCTGATGTATAGTGTTACCAAACCTCAATTTTTGAACTGTAAATTTCTACCTCCGCTATGTGTTGCAACTGTTACCAAATAACATGTATATACATTTACAAGATTAGAATAATTACTTTCTAACAGCCTATTGTATATATCACAAAAGCAACTGCTACAGGTACATGAACTTTATGTGTAAATGTAACCACAGATGCATTCACATTTCAATGGATATATTACATTGCATTTTAGAGCTGAACAATTAGTTTAATATGCATATTGATTAACCGTCAGGCTCATTAGTTGATTACATTCAATTATTCGGTCATATTAATGAGATGGCTTTTAAAAAGACAAAAAATAAAAACACTAAAAGTGAATTTTGGTAACTGTGGTGGATAGAACACAGATAGCCCATCATGTAGAGTAAAATAAAGTTAACACCCACTATTGTCACAGCAAGAAATTTATATGGAAACAAGTTTCAACACTTCCAAGTGTCCTCTTCATTCCAACTTTTCTTTGTGAGAGAAACACATACAGTTTATTTTATAACAGTCATTCCAAGTCCCTTGAGGGTATATGATGTCAGTAAAGGGTACAGTTTATAGTGAAGTTCTGAAATGTTGAACTTTGGCAATTTCTGAATTAATAAACTTTCTACAATTCTTCATTTGACATAATTTCTAGTTTTATGTATCATTTTGGTTGATTTCCAAACTGAACCCTTTACTGACAACATATGCCCTCAAGGGGCTTGAAATGACTATCATAAAATAAACTGTGTTTCTCTCACAAAGAAAAGTTGGACTGATGAGTACACATGAAAATGTCAAAACCTGTTTCCAGATAAACTTCTTGTTATGAAAACAGTGGATGTAAAGTTTATTTTATTTTAAATTACTCTACATGGTATTGTGTATTTACTTTCTACCCATTGTATAGATTTATGCTTAACAACATATAAACATAATGGCAATATTTTGATTACATGGTTAACCGAAATAATAGAAAATATTAATAACTGGAAACCCTAATTATGATTAATTGATTATTTTTATGAGTTGTGACAAATGGATTAAGCTGAACAATCATAATAGCAACATTTTGTTTACTGGACAGTTGGAATAACTTAAAACAGTAATACTCAGAAATATTAATTTTGATTAGTTAGTTATTTTCATGACATTAATAAATTTAATCATAACTTTGAGTAATGGATAGTTAGAATAATAGGAAACACTATTTTATCATTTTCTTGCCATTCATCAATTTAATTGATTTAACTGATTATTTTATATGATGCCAATCAATATCATCATGCTCATGGAAAATCAGTTATAGCAATTAATCAAGTTAATCACCTAGGTCTAAATTACACTTTAGCACTCTGTTAAGTTGGTCTAAACAGCTGGTCCCAGAGCTTGAAATAATGCCTTGCATTTGGCAAATTACTGAAGAAATCGGTAAAACCCATAATCAATAGACCCAGTTCAATATTAAGAAATTACTTTTTGAATCATATATAACAAATTACCAGAAGAAAATGCTGATAATGATTTCAAACTTTGGATCAGTTGCTTAAACCAATCATTACCTTTTGTTTACACATATGTGAAATAAAGTAAATTGTTGTGCATCTACTCATTAGACCTACTCATTATCCTGCTATAATTTCCAAAATCAAAAAATTAATCCAAAGTAGCTGTATATTGGAATTGGGAGTTTAATCATTTATTTTCCTATATTGTTAAAAAAATCAGAATATGGAATTGATGACAAAATTTTCAAAGTAATCTAATATACCAAAGAATAATTATCTCTGAAATACTTTTTAAATCTTCAAAAACATATCCACAATACTGATTTATTTTTCTTAAATCTCTAAATTCAAACTTGGTTCCACACAAAAAGTTACTGCTTTCAGTACTACATATAACAATGAAGTACTGCATAAAAATATCTGTTAACTCAAAACTTCCTACCCATCAACAGCAACATAAATGTATATTGATAATAATAATATATATTGTATCTTAGAGAATAGTTTGTACTTACACAAACTGCACATCTGTCAAATCTGGTTCCCAAGTTTCCCAAACAAAGGACAGGTTAGTTTTAGGTTTCATGTTCACATGAGTTACTGAAGAATTTCTCTCTTCATCACACATCAAAGGTTGCATACTGCTTGGCCATTCTATGAACTGACCAACTCGCTTATTACCATTTACTTCTCTACATTGAAGTATCAAACCTTCTGGTGACTGCTCAATTTTAACTGTAAAAATAAATACAAAAATTGCAACAAACACCTACATGTCAATGCATAGATGAAATACAATTACAAACAAATGACCATTAAAACTATCCCAAATAAGGCTAATTTGAAAGCATGAATTATTTTTTCATTTCATTTGCTTGTGTAAAATGAAACAAAATGTACTGATTATTTGTCAAATTGCTTCTAATTTTTTGTTTTTATATTGACAGAGATTAGGGTGACCAAATTTCCATACTGAATAATCAAGACAATATAGCATTTGCCCCTAATATCAAAATGGTTTTACAAATTTGAAATAATTTAACTTTTTATTTACTTTGAGTTTATTGAACTCTTCCACAATGGCATTGCATATGAAATAATTTCAACTACTTTTCTCATGATAGACACAAAACAAATGAGCAAAAATAGTCAAATTATTCACCCAATAAATCTTTAAAATATACACTCATCCTAAAACAGTCTACCTGGATTTCTTTAGGAATCCATAACATTTTTAAACATATTACTTTTAGGTTTTAGCATTACTTTGAAACCTTTCAGACATATTTTTGTGAAGAATGAATGGAACACAGGAGTCCTATTTTATTCCTTAAATAGCCATAAAATTTAGTACATGACCATGTAAGGCATGTTTGACAACTAGCACTACCTTAACTGTCTTGACATTTAGACCTGCACAGATCTGGGTTTTTCAAAACAAACAAATGGAACTTTCAAGAGAGTTTGGTGGCAGAAAGTATGTGTTATAACAATGAGCAAGTCAATTAGGCCTATTACAATCATGATTCGATGTGACTGACAGTTTAATGTATTTTCATAAAACCAAGACATTATGAGTGTCCTAAGAACTCTTATTAAGACACTGGGACAAACTACCAAAATGGTACTGTTCTGACAAAATCAGGATGTTTGATCACCCTAACAGAAATTAAACTTTCTCATAATTCCTTCAATCATCAAGCAAATACTTAAACTTCTGAAGAATAATCTAAAAAGGACTGAAAATTTAGTAGTGCCTCCAAACATGCAAGTGGTGTGCTGTAGTTTACATATGTAGATAACATACAATGTGGTTGTTGAACCAGCATAAAAGGCCCAGACTCTTCTGCCTGGAAAGCAAACAGTTCTAGTACAGATTCTAAAACACCTAGCAGGAGGTGATGTCTCCATGTTGCTTTGCAACTATAGTTCATCATTACTCTTAGCTTCCAACTGGAATGGTCATCTACATAGCAAGTGCAATGGAAGTGGCTGACACTAACAGTAATTCTGGAGTTGCTTCTGTCACACAGTGTCCAAAAACTCATGCTAAGCTCCTAACCCAGTTAAGAATTGTAATAGAAATCTAGACTCCACTCAGCTCTGCTGGATAAGTGAAATATGTATGTTGAACCTAATGACCAATTAGATATGTTAAATATACAGGACTTTTCCATTTAAGTATAGGACGAGTATTAAATTTAGTTATTTTTAGAAGTAATAGTTTATCACAGGTTTTCTTACTTAACTGTGTACAAATCATGTTGTGTAGTTCAGTTGTGTGAATTGACGCTATTTGTATTATTGTGTCATGTTACTAGAACTGTCCAAGTTTTTCTCATTTTGATCGAGTTTCATTGCATCATAGTATCTCGTAGTGTGTAGAAAGTTCTAAGCCTCGGTTCAAGTATGTAAGACAAAGATACACAATTAGTTAATTAGATAGACAGCTAGATTGTGTGTTTGTGAGTTTAGCCATAAAGAACATATAGTGGCATTTTCTTTTTAAAGTGAAAATATCTCAAATTGTATTGTAACACATTCAATGGAGAAATGTTAATTTCCGTTTTATACTCTCATGTTGTATAATGATAAAAATAAGTAGCCCTGTGAGCAACTATACTGTAACATATAAAGCTAAATTTTAATGCTAATTATAAAACAAGTAAATTTTTAGTATCCATGTAATCATTGTTAGACATCCTGATAGAGGTAGACACAATGAAGTCATGAGATTAAATTTTTATTAGGGATAAAACTTTCTTTATGGAGGGAGGAATGAAGCATTTCTGCTAAATTGCAAATGCTAATTAAATTGAAAAAAATTAAATTTTCATGTATGACACATTAGTCGAAGAAAGAATATAACTGCTAGAGAATGCATAATGCAAGCCTCATTTAGAATGATTGTCCAAATAAGGAAACAAAAATGTTAAAGTAAGTACATGAGTTGGCTGAGATTCATTCCAAACTGTAATAAAAGAAGTAGAAACTAAAATTTTGTCTTATCTATATTAAACACACATGATCATAGTATAGAGGAAAGTAATGACTGTTTATGTTATCAGCACTAAATTAATGGAAGTGAACTGTATAAATCATGAACAGCGGAACTGTGATTGGAAGGAACAAGTGGAGAAATATATGCGAGTAGCTTCATAATTAGCAGCTTTTATCACTGACCAATTAACAATTGCTAATGGTTTTGGTTTAGTAATAAAATATGAATGTACCACTCAGATGAAGGATCTTTTTGCAAAATAACTATGTAGAACTTGTTGAGAAATTGGATGAGTACAAAAATTTGTATAAAATATGTTTCTGGCCCAAAAAATCAGTTCTCCACTGCTGATCCAGCATTCTGCAAAGACCTTGCATCTCAGGTCCATGAGTGATCCAACCTTAATACTAAACCTGCTGACTAAATATGGCTGTACTCCATAGTATGGAAAAAATTCAACACACAAACTCATTGCAAGTAATTTCTCCTACAATCTCTAGTCTAACAGCATAATTAGTAAATAATGTATCATGTGTAAGAATAGGATGATGTTGAAGGGAAACTCACTTGTAAGTTTAGTACGATTCATTGAAAAATTAATTGCATTGTTAAGAGATATTCTAAAGGAAGTTTTGAATAAATTGGCTAAATCTAACTATGTCTGAATGTATTTCTCATATTAATTTAATCGATAACTTGTTTGCTATAATCTTGTTGATGGTCTAATCAATGAACAATTGTTTGCTCAGAACAAAGAATTTGATGCTTTTGACATAGATGATAATTTTGGTATTGTAGATGTCAATAAATATCTAAACACTTTTAATTAAAGTTTCCTATGTTATTCTGATCTGCCTCTGAGTCAATTCTTTATTCCAAGCATAAACTTCCTAGAGTTGGTGGCTTGTGTGCTTAACCCATGACTGCATAACCTGGATTTAAATAAATTCATTTGTAACTTGTATGAAGTCAAACCTAAGGATTCTGCCAAACTGCCACCTGTTACAGGATTTTCCATGGTCCACTACCTCATTGAATAGGAACTGGTAAGTGGAAAGGAATTCACAGAGGGGAGACCCAGAGAAAATGCCCAACTCCCAATTAGTTGAATATAAATGGTTTTAAGAGCAGGAATTGTTGCTCCACTCAGGGCCAGAGCAGAGGAAACCACGACTGAGCAGACAAATATGGAGCAACTAGAAACACACGACAAGAAGTGGTTGTAGAGACGAGTCTGATCGATTGGTAAGCATACAGATGAAGGCCCCACCAATCCTGACTGAACGCATCCACCCATAGATCTGATGGATGCAGGACAGAAGACCAAGAGGAGAGAAGATTGACATTTCAGTCAGTGGCAAATGCATCTACAAGCGGTATTTCCAGGCAAAAACACAACCACTGATAAACCTGAGGATGAAGGGACCACTTTTCATGTTAGGATGGGAAAAGTGGTCTGTAACAATATTCTTTATACAAAGAACATGACATGCCAAGATCATTATGTTGTAGTCATGGGCCCAGTACAGGAGGTCAAGTGTTTGAAAACACCAAGATATGGACTTGGTTCCCCCCTTGTTTGGTGACATAGCTGACGACAGTGGAATTATCAGAATGAACCATAACCACCCGCCCTCTCAAGAATGGGAGGAAATGATTGAGAGCCTGACAAACCACCAAAAGTTCCAGGAGGTTAATAAGGAAACTAAATTCCTTGATGGACCGCTGACCCGAAATCTTTTGAGAGTTGAGGGAAGATCTCCCAACCCACCAATGAAGCATTGGTGAACAAACGAGAGTTGGGACAAGATGGAGGAAGTGGAACCTGCACTGTAGTAGGAGCCCTGTCGAGTGACCAAACCAGGTCAGCTCTGATCCCTGGTGGAAGGGCAATAGGATGGTCCGATGAATTGTGGGAGAAATTTCACTAGTCAAGAAATATCCACGGAAGGGAATGCATATGCACTCAACCAAAGAGAATGAGAGTTTCCAGGGAGGCCCGCATCCCCAAAAGAGATAGAATCTCTCAAGCAGTAAAAGAAGGAGAAAATAGTGCTTGAGCAACCACCCACTCTATATCCCGAAACTAAAGTGGAGAAGACTAGGTCCGACTGAGATGGGAATTGAAGAGAACCATCAAATGAATGAGGTATTGAGTGGGGGGTTAGAAAAGACTTCTCCACTTTGATGAGAAACTGTACCCGAGCAGACTCTCGAAGAAGGAAGCATGAGTGACAGACTGAGCCTAAGAACAGGCAAGCAGTAGCCAGTTGTCCATGTAATCAGGAGTCTGAAGACCTAATGAGTGAAGATGACATGCAAAAGAATGGACAACACAACAGAACACATAAGGAGCTGAATCAAGATCAATTGGCAGCATTTGGAACTAAAAGACACACTCCTGAAGAGAAGGATGTGACTCTGGAGTGATGGGAATGTGAAAATAGGCATTGCCATGTCAAATTTGGTTATCCAAAGACCTGGGGGAAAAACTCACCAAAGGGAAAGGTAAGACTCTATGGTGAATCAGGGAATTTCCAAAAAGATATTCGGCTGGGACAGATCGATGATGGGTCTCCAATCTACTATCTTTTGGGGGCAACAAACAAATGGGATTAAAATCCCTGAAGAATTGGTACCACACGTTTGATAGCTTCTTTGTGAAAAAGGTTGCAAACCAACTCTGTTAGATGACTGGATGAGCAGGAAGAAAGAAAACTGGGATAGAAGATAG